ACCGTGTGGGCGGGGCTGACTTAAGGGGAAACTGAGACTCAGAGCTGACTGTGGACTACAGCGGTTGCTATGGTGGGAGAAACTCCCAGTCTCACATGACAGTTTGTTGAAAAGTGGGCTAGAGCCGAGCAGGCGAGCTACACTGTTCCCTCTGGCCCCTCCCCCACAGGCAGCACTGCAGAGCAGTAAGGAGGGTTGCCCTGCCCTGGTGAGCACCTAAGTCCCCACCCCCTTACAACTTAGCAGGGGCCCCAAACAAAGAAATATGGCCAAAATGAAAGAATAGAGCAAAACCTCAGAAAGAGAGTTAAGTGATAAGAATATAGCCAACCTATCTGATGAAGAATTTAAAGCCCTGGTAATCAAAACTTTCACAGAACTGATTGAGTTTGGTTGAAAAATTAAAGATATCAAAAATGAAATAAAGCAAAATATTCAGGGAACCAACAGTGATGGGAAAGAAACCACGACTCAAATAAACAATTTGGAACAAAAGGAAGAAATAAACATCCAACTGGAACAGAATGAAGAAACGAGAATTCAAAAAAGTGAAGAGAGTCTTACAAACCACTGGGACAACCTAAAACATTCCAATATCTGAATTATAGGAGTGCCAAAAAGAGAAGAACAACAGCAAGAAATTGAAAACTTATTTAAACAAATAATGAAGAAAACTTCCCCAGTCTGGTGAAGAAAATAGACTTTCAGGAAGTCCAAAAATCCCAGAGAGTCCCAAAGAAGTTGGACCCAAAGAGGAACACAACAAAACACATCATCATTAGGTTACCCAAGATTAAAGATAAAGAGAAAAATCCTATAAGCAGCAAGAGGAAAGGAAAGAGTTACCTACAAAGGAGTTCCCATAAGGCTATCAGGTGATTTCCCAAAAGAAACCTTACAGGCGAGAAGGATCTGAAAAGAAGTATTCCAAGTCATCAAAGGCAAGGGCCTACATCCAAGATTACTCTATCCAGCAAAGCTATCATTTGGAATGGAAGGGCAGATAAAGTGCTTCTCAGGTAAGGTCAGTTAAAGGAGTTCATCATCACCCAGCCCTTATTATATGAAATGTTAAAGAGACTGATCTAAGAAAAAGAAGATCAAAACTATGAACAGTAAAATGACAACAAACTCACAGTTATTAACAACTGAACCTAAAAAAATAAAAGGAAAAAAAAACAACAAAAACAAAAACTAAGCAAACAACTAGAACAGGAACAGAATCAGAGAAATGGACATCACATGGAGGGTTTTTAGTGGGGAGGGGAGGAAAAGGGGAGAAAAGTACAGGGAAGAAGAAATATGATTTGTAGGCATAAAATAGACAGGGAGAGAGAAAAATTATGTAGGAAACAGAGAAATCAAAGAACTTATATGTACAACCCATGAACATGAACTAAAGGTGGGGGATCCTGGAGGGTCAGGGGGTACAAGGTGGAGGGGGGATAAAGGGGGAAAATTTGGAAAAGCTGTAATAGCATAATCAATACAATGTACTTTAAAAATGGCTTAAAGATTTCAATGTTAGACCCAAAACCATAAAAATCCAAGAAGAAAACATAGGCAGGAAAATCTTGGACATTACTTATAGCAATATTTTTTGTGATATATCTCCCAGGCAAGGGAAATAAAAGAAAAAAAGAAACAAATAGGACTACATCAAACTAAAAAGTTTGGCTCAGCAAAAGAAACCATCAACAAAATAAAAAGACAACCCACTGATTGGGAGCATATATTTGCTAATACACCTGATAAGGGGCTAATATCCAAAATTTATAAAGAACTTATAAAACTCAACACCAAAAAAAATCATAAAAAAGCCAATTTAAAAAATGGGCAAAGGACATGAATAAACACTTCTCCAAGGAGGACATACAGAGGGCCAATAGACATATGGAAAGATGCTCATCAGAGAGATGCAGATTAAAACCACAATGAGATGCCACCTCATACCAGTCAGAATGGCCATCATCAAGAAATCAACAAAGAAGTGCTGGCAAGTTTGTGGAGAAAAGGGAACCCTAGTGCACTGTTGGTGGGAATGCAGACTGGTGCAGACACTATGGAAAGCAGTATGGAGATACCTCAAAAAATTAAAAATGGAACTGCCTTTTGACCCAGTGATTTCATTTCTGAGAATTTATCTAAAGAAATCTGAAACACTAATTCAAAAGTCTATAAGCATCCTTATGTTCATTGAAAAAAAAATAAATGAACTACTAAGCCATGAAAAGACATGGAGAAACCTTGGATGCATATTGCTTAGTGAAAGAAAACAGCCTGAAAAATTGCATATTATATGATTCCAACTCTAGGACATTCTGGGAAAGGCAAAACTATAGAGGCAATAAAAAACACAGTGGTTGCCAGCAGCTCAAGGTTGAGGTGGGGCATAGACAGGGGGAGCTCCAGGTACTTTGTCAGGCATTAGAACTTCTCTGTATCATACTGTGATGGCGGGTGCATGTCATTGTATGTGTACTTGTCAAAAACCATAAAACTATACAATTCAAAGGGTGAATCCTAATCTAAATCATGAACTTTAATTAATAATAATGTGTCACTGTTGGCTCATCAGTTGTAACAAATGTACTACATGTAAGGCATTAATAGTGCGGAAAACTGTGGCGGGGAGGGAGGGAAGCCATGGGAGCCTCTGCACTTTCCGCTCAATTTTCTGTAAATCTGAAACTGCTCTAAAAACTGAACTCCATTAATTTTTCTTTAAAGCAGCACTAGTCAATGGAAGGAAAAGTGGAAATCAAATAATATAGCCATCCATAATCTCAGCAGGACAATTGCCATAAACACGCAGACATAGTTCCTTCCAGTCTTTCTTCTAGCCTTTTTCCAAATGTCTATGTATATATCATTTTTTAAAGGAGTTGAAGTTATTCTGCTAAATTCATTCTAAAGGTTTATGATCTACTTCAACCTTGGGTTTTTAACCACAAAGAAAGTAGCCCCATATAAAACATCGGTGATACCAAAAACAGATTATTAGAGGGGCTAGTTGCTATGGGAAGGATTGAAAATAAATTTCCTTTTGCACTACACCCTGCTAATGTAATGACCAGAAGGAAGAGGAAATATTTGGAGTAACTTAGAAGAGCAGCCAAGTAAAGTTCTAATCAAGAAGGAAAATACATCAGCCTTGTGAGGTTTCAAAGAGGCCAGAGCATCTCCCCACAGTTTCACTAATTATGCCCACCAGCCACCATATAGGTGGAGAGGGAAAGCACCCAGGAGTCAGGGAGACAAGTGACTAGGAGACCCTCTCTCTCCTTCACTGACAGTTTAATGACCAGACAGGCAGCAGGTCTCCCTCAGGGGGTGGCTTGTCTGTCTCTTGCACCTCAGGGCGGTGCAAGGCCAGGAAAAATAAATCACCCCTTCCCTCCCATGGAGATGCTCCAACTACTTAGCAAGCTGCAAGGCCCAGGCTTCAAGTGATCTGTTTGGACTCTGTGTTGGACCTTAGCATCAGAGTGGGGCCCCTTCTGCACATGCTGGGTCATGGGGAAGCCTGGAAGGCCTGGGGTTGGAGGGAGCCGGGATGCCAGAGTCACAGGTAGGGGACACTCCAGGAGCTCAGGGGAGTGACTGTTTTCTAAAAGAAGAATTTTAATGTATGGAGAAGTGGTAAGGCCAGCTCAGTATGCTGTACCAACTAAATTCTGACCATTGTTCAACAATCATTTTTATGAAATACAAGCCTCAATAGAACTCATGTCAGGGGCAGCTTTGAGTGGGCAAAACAGAGCTGCTACCATAAAACGACAGCTGGGAGCATGAAGACAGGCCCCACCTGCCACTCAGAGAACAGCTCAGTTTAGACTCCCATAGATCTAGCTGCATTCCCAGCTCTGCCATGTATCACCATGAATTATATAATCTTTGACCTCCAGTGTTCCCCATCTTTAAAATGGGTATAACTGTTCCCCCGAGAGGTTATGGTAGGGATCACATGACATCAGCCATATGAGGTGCTAACAGAATGCCCAGCATATCACTGCTCAGTCAAATGCAACTGCCATCACCACCACCATTAGAGGCAACTATGCTGTGGATCACTTTTTTTTCTCTTCCTTTTCCTTTTCCTCTTCCTTTTTCCTTTTTTTTTTTTTTAACACAGCTGGTGACCTCATCTCCCTTGTCTCTGTTCGTGTAGATGCCTGGTCACTACCGCCACATAAAGACAGAGTCCCTGAAGTGTGAATTATTGGGCAGTTAACTTTTTTCTACAGCATCCTAGGAAGAGCTCTGTACTCTGGAGAGATTTTTGATGCTTTGCCAACTCAAATCAGAAAGCTACTAAGTTATGGCCAGTCTGGGTATGGCCTTCCCACCGAAAGCTTGAGGACCAAGGGTGAGAGTGGCCCAGTGCCCCCAAGACTGAGGATACCCAGGCCCGAGCAGCGATCCATGGGCTACCAGTGTTCGACGCCGATTCCCAGCACTGCAGACTGTTTCAGGCTGCTTATGTTCTTTCTTTAAACTTAGTTAATAGATTAATATTTTTACTCTGAAAAAAATTTTAATAAACAAAATTATAATCAAACCTATGCATGTCTCCATCCCCCCAAAATGACAATTGTTAACATTTGTTATATTTACCTCAATTCCTTTTAAAAGAATTTTAAGTATGATAGATAAAATTGAAGTCTACTTTCTTTGCCCAGATCTATTTTTGCCCACACACCTAATCACCATTGTGAATTCGATGTTTATCTATCCAGTTCAATTTTATTTTCTTACTGAACTGTCTGGTTTTTATAATAGAGAGAAAAGAGAAAGAAACGTGGGAAATGCGCTAAGTGAAAACATCTATGTGAGGAGGGGCCTTTGTGCCTCCGCAGCTGCACCCAGGCACCCACTCGCTGACCCCGGCATGGGCACGCCCCTGCAGATAGGGCACACAGCAGGGAGTCTTGCAGACTCCCACCTACAGAGAGCAGTGCAGACCCTGTAAGGCCATCTGCTGAACTCCCAAGGCTTACCTGGGTCCAGGTGCGTGAAAGAGCCCACCACGAGGTCCAGTGTGGACACAGCCAGCAGGAGCAGCAGCAGCAGCTGCAGGCGGATGATCCATTTGACACCTGCTAGGTTAATCCCCAGCAGGGCCAGAAGCACCACCACTGAAATTCCTCGCACGGCCCAGATATTCCTGAGGCTCAGCAAATCTGAGATGGATTCAGCGAAGCCGGTGATATACATGGCACCTGCAACACACTGACAGGCAGTTCTCGGTAGGGGGAGTCAGCCAGAGAGACAAGCACCAGGAGCCCGCTGGCAGAGTGGCGGGGCGGGTGCTGAGGGCCCTGCTCACCCTGATCAGCATGTGCCCTGGGGATAGTGAAGGGTTAAAAGAGCCCTTGCACAGGGAACCCTGCCTCAGCCCGATTCTTCTCATCCACCCCTCTATCATCATGCCGAGGGCGGAATGAATGCCCACCCCCAAGCCGGGAGCCCGCTAAGGGGCAGTGGTAACTGAAAGGAAGAGATTATGGCGAGAAGACGACGGGGTTCTGGGCCAAAGAGACATTTGAACTCCCCTTTGTGTTATTCAAGAACTAAACAGAGAACAAAAATGCTCAGGGGGTTCCATCTCAGAGCCTTGAAAGGGCACTGAAGCAAACCTAGTTTACTCCATTTCTTTGTAGGTCACTATTATTTAAAAAATTATCTAAAACTTGGAAATAGGAAAAAAAGTGGGCAGTACATCCTTTCAATGTTACATGAAACAAAGGCTACCCAAGGACTATCTGAGTGAATGCATTTAGTTCTACTCAGTTTACTATTGATCAGAGATATTAAATGTCCCAGGGTTAGTGGTTACATGGTAACTTGCAGATTTTTTTCCAGCAGACATGCACATAGCTTCTGTGCAGTGGCACAGGTAATCCAAAAGATTCAGATTTGCTGTCCTACAAGACATTAATCAGTTTTGCGTCTAACCCAGCAAACGTACCCTTACATTTATTTATGAAATTGCCTAAATTTTAATGTGTGGACTTGCTCCATATTCACCCAGGATCAATGCCTAGCATCTCAACTGCTCTTTAACATGCTAGTGACTCCTCCATTAATTAAATGAGTTAAATAAAATCTTTAGTACATTTTATTTTATATTTGCCTGAGAGTCATGATTTTACTTTTTAAAAATTATTTGAAGCCCTGGCTGGCATAGCTCAGTGGATTGAGAGTGGGCTGCGAACCTAAGTGTCGCAGGTTCGATTCCCAGTCAGGGCACATGCCTGGGTTGCAGGCCATGACCCCCAGCAATCACACATTGATGTTTCTCTCTCTCTCTCTTTCTCCCTCCCTTCCCTCTCTAAAAATAAATAAATAAAATCTTAAAAAAATATTTGAAACATGATTTTAAACAAATATTTGAAAATAACATCAGCCAGCCTTATTTCCCATAATTCCTCAGCCTCCTTTTCTTGTCAGGTCCACCTCATCACCATCCCCCCGGCCAGTGGGTCAGTCTCCTCACTGGACACTGGACCTCTACCCTGGTTGTTCTCAAAGGGAGGAAATTCTACTCAGGCCCCCATCAGGCTCCTCCTTTCCCATGAAGCCTTTCCATATCCCTGTTGTCTGAATAAATATTATGCTTACCACCAGGGCCATGCAATCAATTATCTGGTTCCATATCCCATTATTTCATATATTTAAGTTTTTCTCCCCTACCACCAACAAGAAAGCAAACATCTTAAAAAACAAAAATGTTTGTGTTGTTTGCACCTCTTAAAACACCCTGCATTTGCTAAGTAAGTTACAAACATTCAATAAATACTTTGTAATATGTTCACTGTATGCGAAGTACTCTGGGAAGCAGGCACCATTAAGTTCCAGCCTTTCATGTAAAGACCAGAAGGGTCATACAATTTCTGTATTTGAGGGGAGCTCACAAAAAAAGGCCCCTATCTTCACTGAGATTGGTTCATGTTGCAACCAGACATAACATCATTGGCGGTGCTCCCCAAGTTTATATTAGGCATTTCCTTCTATATTTAGGTAAAGAGGGAAACCCAGTAAGTGTGGGGAAAATACAGTCATCTCTGAGATGGAGACAGAATGAGATGAGAGGAGAGGGGATGAGATGAGATGAAATGAAAGATCTGTTTTCCTGCATTCGTGTCAGGCTCAAACTTACTCTTGACTAAATACCGAGGTGTGATGGGGACAGTGATGATATCTCATCAGTATTTGGGCAGGTCACAGGACTCTTCATGGTCAGATGTATTGGGGTTTAAATAACAGATGATAGAAATGTGGTGATGACAATCGTTTGTATCGGCATCTACTTCCCAGGCATCGATGTCTCTGACATGCAGAGGACACCACAACTTCAACATGGCCATCGTGTCTGGAGCTTCCAAACTGATTGTTTCTTTTTCCAGCTGGAGAACAGAATCTGCTCACATGAAACGGGCCAAGCAGTAAACTCTGCCTTTTGTTTCCAGGAACTCCAGCACAGCCCCTCTCTCAGGTTTGCACCAGAAATCAGTTTTTGGCCCAAAGATGCCAGTAACAGAAAAAAAGAAAAGGCTTCTGAGGGTGTGTGGAAGAGTGTGGTGGTTAGGAGTTTAGACTGAGAAGCCAGACTACCTAAGGCCAAAAAGTCTTGGGGCTTAATAAAAGGAAATATGAAATGAACAAAACAGAAGAAAAATAATAAAAGAAAGAACACAGTGAACAAAAGCTGATTTTTTAAAAGATCAATAAAAGCCCTGGCTGGTGTGGCTCAGTGGATTGAGTGCTGACCTGCGAGCCAAAGGGTCGCCAGTTCAATTCCTGGTTGTGGCACATGCCTGGATTACAGGCCAGGTCCCTAGTCGGGGAGCATGTGAGAGGCAACCACACATTATGTTTCTCTCCCTCTCTTTCTCCCTCCCTTCCCTTCTCTCTAAAAATAAATAAAATCTTTTTTAAAAGGTCAATAAAATACATAAACACCTGGCAGCCTGATTAAGAGAAAACACAAAAATACACTATTAAGAATGAGAAAGGAATAAAACTACTCTTACGGAAGAGAGCAAAACAGTGAAGAGAATATGAATGTGCCATAATGTTGTGATACATTCACATTATGTAATACTACATACTTAAAAAGCACAGGTTTAGCAATTTGGTGCTGGTGCACTGTGGGTGGGAATGCAGACTGGGGCAGCCACCTTGGGAAACAGTATGGAACTTAAAAAAACTAAAAATGGAACTGCCTTTTGACCTGGCGATTCCCCTGCTGGGAATATATCCTAAGAGTCCCGAATCATCAATTCAAAAGAACCTGTGCACCCCAATGTTCTGAGCGGTACAATTTACAATAGTCAAGTGCTGGAAACAGCTTTAAGCACCCATCAGTAAATGAGTGGATCAAAAAACTGTGGTACATTTACATAATGCTACACAGCAGAAAGAAAGAAGGAACTTTTACTTTTTGCAACAGCATGGCTGGAACTGGAGACTATTAGGCTAAGTGAAATAAGCCAGTTGGTGAAAGACAAATACTATGTGATCTCACCTATAAAAGGAATCTAATGAATAAAATAAAGTAACAAGCAAAATAGAACCACAGACATGGAAACACGGAACAGACTGACGGTGACCAGAGGAGAGGCAGGAGGGGAATAATGGTAGAAGAAGGGGGAAGGACTAGACAAAGAACATGCATGAATGACCCACAGACATGGACAACAGTGTAGGGACTGACAGTGGGAGTGGGGGGTGGGGTGTGTGGAGAAGGGCAAAGGGGGAAAAACTGGGACAACTGTAATAGAATAAGAATAAAAAATGATTTTTAGCACTGGCTGGTGTGGCTCGGTGGATTGAGTATGGGCTGGGAACCAAAGGGTTGAGGGTTCGATTCCCCGTCAGGGCACATGCCTGGGTTGCAGGCCAGGTCTCCAATGGGGAACATGTGAGAGGCAACCACACACTGATGTTTCTCTACCTGTCTTTCTCCTTTCCTTCTCCTCTCTCTAAAAATTAATAAAATGTTTAAAACAAAAACAAAAAAAAATGATGTTTAAAAAAAACATGGGTATAAACTGACCCTGTGGGATGTCTATGACATACTGTTAAGTTAGAAATTCAGCCACGGAACAGAGCATGAAACTCGTCCACATTTCCATAAAAACAAGCAGCACTTCAAAAATCCGTACGTGTATGCAGTTTAGCACAGGGAAAGGTGCCATAAGAGGAACCGAGTGTGAGAGAAACTTTTTCTTTATCTCCAATGTGTTAACTGGTTACAAGGAATATCATTTTTCAATTTCAAAATGATTTTACAAAGGAAAAATAAAAACAAACATATTAAGAGTATGATTCTGTTTATGCAACAACCACATTCGGCACAGGCAGCACAGTGCCTCCGCGCGGAGAAAAGCAGCCCAGGACCCAGGCTCCGCACACCCAGCTCCCTGCCAGCAAACACAGGACCGGCCTGAGCTTCGGCCTCCCCCTGCGAGCCGGGTGGGCAGCAACTGCGGGCCTTCCCCAGAGCGATCCAGCCACCCCAGAGGCGGTCTACCTTCCAACCATGAATACTCCTCTTCAGGCAAATGTGCCTGTTGGTTTGTTTAATGGATAAACATCCCCAGAGTTTACTATATATTAAAAGCATTTTTATCTCCTCTTAAAGTTTATAATCATAGACATTCCTTCTCCGTTTTCATTCTCCACAGAGAAGCTTCCAGCCCTCTAGTGCAGGAATTGGAGCGGGGTTTGGGTGAGGGGGTAGGGGAAGCAGTGGACACCCACCATTTTAAAGAGAGACGGTGACCTATTTTCAGGGTGTAAAGTCTCCCTTCCAAGGTATTTCTTTTAGAAAAATTGTACTCTCACAACCATAGACATTTTTCTTTTCATCTTTGAGTACCTACCGAGAAGACCAGTGCTGCCCCTCTGCACACCTCCCCTTCTGACACAAAATCCTTGGTTTAAGGTTCGAGTTGGTTGACTCTAAGTCCTGCATAGCTGTTAGCACTCACAACAAAAACCCCAGGTCCATATAAGGTTTATAAAAGTTTTCCAGTCCTCTACTGCTTTTGCACAGAGTCCAGCACAGAGCATGGAGGCCATTAATAAATGCTTTAGACATAACAGTATACGCTGAAACTGGGTATTTTGGTGTCCAGGGTAAGCAGCCCCAAAGAAGCCCTCAGGTCTACAAAGGTGATTGGGGCAGGGAGTAGGGAGGGGCTTCTGCTCACCCTCTCTTCCAC